TTGAAGGGGGTCTGAATACTTTCCGTACCCACTGTATATTTAGTAATATATGGCACCTTAATTGAGTGTGCAATAAGGCAATAACAGTTTATTTTTAGTCACATTTAATCTTTTTTAGAGACAATGAAAAGGAGGGCACTGTCTTTAAGCTGTGGAGTCAGACACTCAGGCTCAGATTTCCTTCAATAAGCAACATTATTCAGATTCTTATCACAATATTCAGTGACAATTATTTAGATTCTTTTCATTCTCATTGTGTAGCACTGTTTGAAGCTTAGTGAATATTATGCTCAGTAAGCACTACAAGTAGAGACTTGTACTACTTGGGGTAGTGTTTTATATAAATTTTAATTTTGTGCAAAAAATTGTGCAAAATGAAATAAAATATGCACAGTGACACTGCTTTTTCATTGTTTTGTGTAGTAATTCAATTATTTTAATATGAATATTGTTTTAATAAAATGTTCAGTACAGAAATTGTATATAAATCTTAATTAGTACTTTAAACTTTTTGTTGTCTAAGAGCTTCATTTGACAAATTAACAGAAAAAAATATCAGTGGCATAAGACAATAAGATATTTAATTTTGTATTATGTAAAATGCTTGTAATCCCTGCTTTAACTGCATATCGATGGGTGAGAACCAGAAGGGCGTAAGTGACATTTTTGGTGAAATGGAGATATATATATATATATCAAATGAAAGCTCTTAATGAGCTCCTTCTACTGGCAAAAGTACTGTCATCCATGAGTGTACAAATTTTTATTATAAACAATTGAAATCAGTACACAAAGTCAGATCAAACTATGGTACATTTTTTGTTTTGGCTCTCCTGTAAAGTTGGTGAAATGTCACTTATGCCTTTCTGGTTCTCATCTACTTGTATGATTTGTAATATTCAAGAACTGTACAAATATCGTTTTCATATTGAAATTACTCTGACACAGTCGCCCCTGATTACTTTTTAATTGTAACATAGAAACATGCATTTTCTGTAAAGCTGCTTTGAAATATGTATTGTGAAAAACAATATACAAATAAACATTAATTGAATTGCATTTGAATTCTAGATATGTATACTACTTATTTGTGTGTGTGTGTGTGTGTGTGTGTGTGTGTGTGTAGTGTAGTGTATATAGCAAAGCCACTAGAAGGCAAGCCCGCAACCTTTAGCCAAAACAGCGTAACGGGTAATGCTAACGCTGTGGCGCAGAGAAGGAGACCAGAGGCCGTTTTTTCTGAATGGATGTCACTGGAGGAGAGGCTTCACTATGCTGAATAAACAGCTTTTAGAGGAAACGGCTTATCATTTAATGAATCAACAGCCTATCTGCTAATCTTCAAGATGTTTTACACTAAACAATAATTTTGGATTTAACTAGAGTTTACCATGAAAAATTGCTGTTTTGTAAAGAGGTCACAGATTTTTGCGACAGGTGGGATTCAGCTTACGGCACTTCCCATTTATTCCTATGGTATCCGTAAATGGTGATTGAGTGTTGTACAATTCTGACTGAAATTCGATGACGTCAAAGCTGTAATGTGATTGGTTATCAACACACACGTGATCCAAGTTAGCCGTATATGCTTTCTTCAATAGTAAGTAATACAGACCCTCTAATCTCCCAATAGTAAAATGAAATCTAGTATATAGGCCAATATATATAGCTACAAAATGAGTTGGCCCAGATCCGGCATGGTACTGGACCAGATTTGGCCCACATTTGGGCCAAATCACCATATAGGAATCTGCCGATATAGGCCCGTTGTGCCAAAAGACACCGGTCCAAGTCTGTTGCACGAATTTGGCCCAGAACTTCCGGAGGACCTGGGCCAGATGATTTTTGCTATCTGGGAATCTTGACTAATATTTGACGTCAAATTGACATCAAGGTGCCCGCTGGGAGTTATAGCCATAATTAACAATTACATGCTTCGTTTTCATATCAGGTTTTCTAAATGTTCAGTCTATAACATAGATTTTAGTTCATCCCAGTCTTACACGTAGGTTACCCCAGTCTTTACAATCTTACAAAATTCTTGCTTTAGGCCGTAATGTTTATCTGATTTTTATGAAAGTTATTGAGCACCTTACCCTTTAATCACCAAAAGTAAAGTGCCCTTTCAGTCCTATGGATGTGGATCCGAGCATGATTTATGCTTACACTGTAGGGTATCAGAGCGAATCAGACAATTTAAGATTTGATCAGATTGGTGTTGAACAACCCAAAGAGCCGAATTCCACAGAGAGGCCCAAGACAACAGGATGTTCGTAAATCAGATCCTGGCGCCACGAGTCTGAAGTGAGCCAAACAAATTAGCAGCTTCAAACAGCTTTCAACATTAAACAAAAGAACACTTACTGACAATTCCAACTCAGAAAGGAGATTGTCAAATTTGGGGCAAATAACCAAGATTAATGATTGAAGAGACAACATCATGACCATCACATGAGGGAAATCATTATTGGAGACTTTGTTGGGTGGTTTACCCCACCCAGGACAAGAACCAGACTGAGATTCCTTACGAGACCTTTTATATAATGTATGTAACCCACACATTTGACTATCATGTCCTAATCACTTATTGTGTATGTATTTTGAATAACTATTGAATAGTTTATAGGATTATATTCATGTTGGGTATGTATGAGTTTGAAAATTCATGCTTTAAATGTTTCTATCAATCAATACTTTGTAAAATATATTATATTCTGGTTATAGAAATCATGTCCAAACTGCAAAAGCGGGAAAATTCGGACCATGTGACAGATAAGATAGCATGTTGATTTATGTATTGGGAGGAGAAACATCGCAACACCCTGAGCTAAGACACTAGGTGCGTTCGACTTCATGCAGCACTGCGCAGATCGAACGCAATCTGACTTAAAGCAGTGCATGCCGGTTAGTAATTTTGTCCGACTTGAGACGGCACCGACGCACGTCACTGTCAGGTGTGGCATCAAAGTATGGCGTTCGGACGGCATCAAAGCAACGCGAGAGCGTTTCGAGAGCAGCCGGCTGACTCGCGTGATTTTTTTTCCCAAACCAGTTGAGCGCAAACCACGCCCCCTACGCGAAAACCCCACCCCGCAGCCATGACTCAAGTCTCTGGCTTCATTTCATTGGTCAACCCTGTTACGTCACCTGAGAAGAAGTTTGGACAAGGTCGTTGATGGATCCGTCGCTGACAAACGGTAAACAGTTCTTTTCAATAACATTTTATTATTAGAAGTATTTGTAGGTCTCAATTGTATTGTATTTATTCTTTAGTTTCTTTTGTTACTAATTACAGATACAGGAAGTTCCTGACCTATCAGTCTTTACAGTCGACGTGACAGTTGGGCTCTCAGCTATAGGAGGGACTTGCCAACACGTGGCAACCAAACAAATAACTATGTGGAGGCTGCAATGCGTGTCTTGAAAGACAAAATACTTCAAAGGACAAAAGCATTCAACCTGCCTCAATTATTCAACCTTTTCATTACCCGACTAGAGATGTACTATGAAGCACATGTGACAGACGTTGCACTTGGCCATTGGGAGGCATTCCACCGGTCAAGATTCCTTGCTACACAAAGTAATATAAAAGCATCTGATATTTCTCAGGTAAAATGTCATTTTTAATTATGAATCATTAACAAAATTGTTAGTTAATTAATGCTGTCCCTCTCTTTACTGCTGAGATGGTTAGTTGAGTAACAAGATCACTGTGCATCTCGATTCTCACAAAGATGTGTTCTGTGTCCTAGTGTCCTTCCAAGTCCGTTCTGTGCATTCTTATAATTGAGAAACATCCAGTATGTCTGTATTTTTTGTCTTTATGTCACTGTTAGGTTGGAGAAAAGAAATTTCAGGTGAGATCGTCCACATCAGGGCACACCTATACAGTGGACATGGAGTTGGAGCTCTGCACTTGTCCAGTTGGCCATAGTGGGGCACCATGCAAACACCAGGCAGCAGTAGTGCAAAATTACAACATCACCTCCATCAACTTTCTCCCCACAACAGCTGAAATGAGGGCTGAGCTGCTGAAAATAACAAAAGGTAATTATTTCTTTGTTCTTTGTAGCATAACACACACTGACTGATGCTGTTTTTAAATACTGTTTTCTTTAGATATTTTAACTATTAACTATTAACATTAATTACTTGTCCTGTTCATCATCTTCACAGCTTCAGTTTCTCTTGACTTTCTAAACCCTTTACGGCAAAATATGCCAACGCCAAGCACATTAGCTCCAGGTAAGAAAGTTCAAGTGGGACATAGAAACGTCATCATATATGCTTAATTCTTAATAAAACAACTAGTACAGCAGTGCGACATTAGTATACATTTGTTTTAGACATGCCTCCCAGGCAAGAAACCTGCACTACTGATCATCAGTATCATCTCAGTGCTCAAGATGATGGTCAGTATAAAGGGAGGGATGGTGCTGTTTTTTTATGTATTCTTTTTTTCCCTTTTCTTTCTAATGGTGGCATATTGAACAGAAACACTATTGTAACATTTCAATTTGTCTATCTGTATCTTATGAATTGTAGAGTCACATCAGCTGGACCTGTCTTCCACCAGCTCTGCACAATTGCACCAAACATCACCTATGCAAGAGGACTCATACTCCAACCAACCCTGTGTACAGGTTAACTCAGAGGGAGGTGAGTCCATGAAGCTTAGAGTTACATTAAAAATTCTGTCTAGATGTTTATTTGGGCCCAAGCACCTTTTTCTAAGTTTTTTTCCCCCAATGTTTCGGGGCATTTTGGGGTCCTTAAAGGGATAGTTCACCCTAAAATGGTTATTGGTTGGTAATCAAACAGTTGCTGGTAGCCATCGACATGGGAAGGGTGTGGGGTTGTGATGTCCTTAAAGAAACATGGTGGACTTTCTTTCTATCATCAGACATTGACTCTCGCACAACACAATGTATGTTAGCTGATTGGCATGTCACCATATTCTAATTTGTTGAGAGTGAATTGGTGGGTTTTTGTTAAATGTGAGCCAAATCACAGTTAGAAGAACCAAAGACTTAACTACTTCAGTCTGTGTGCATTGAATTTATTTAATACACGAGTTTCACAGTTTGAGTTGAATTACTGAAATAAAT